AAATCCCTACCAGTGTCCTACTGATCTGTATACCAAACTCTTTGGCTGAGGTATCATTAGTTATAGTGTAATTATTCATTTCCAAATGCACATGCATGCTCAATCACACAGGGATTTGTTCCTGATAATCATGCAGACCATCCAGTAAAAGATATCACCCACAACAATTCATGCCTTACAATTCATGCCTGGTTGTAAGTCAGCTTAAAAGGTACTGACCTACATCATTCATAGCACCTCTGAAGCCAGGTGATACTCACAAAGCCATGGATACTTTTGGACTCTTCTTGGCTCAGTAAGAACGATGATCAGCTGCTCCATTTTGAAGAATTATCTTCTGTTTTGTTGTTGAGCGCATGCATGAAGTGCAAAGCAAAAATCTCTGACTACTTATTTTGCTCCATCATAATCATGTAATTCTATAGAGTGATCACACTGAATTTTTATAGTAAGAAGTCATACATTTAGCTTTTATCTGTATAATCATACACTTTTAGTATATAGTAAGCCAGGGTGCGTACAATTTGTACTCAGAATTTTTGTAATATTTGAGTGTGTTTATATTTATTATAAATGGCAAAGATAATTCTTTTCTGTCTCTTAATACAACCCATGCAGAATACAACTCACAGAAAGTTAAAAACAGCTAGCGACTGATAAGGGATAATTAATCATCATGGCTAATCCCCTTGGCGTAATGAATAAACCAGATTTTATAACTAGGAGTTATCAGGCCAGAACAGTAACTGCCAAACTTGGCAACTGTAATTGGATGCTGCCACCTATGGCTGGGAACCAGTAATACATATACATTTAGAAATAGAGTGGAAAAAGGGAGGCTAAAATACCAAGATGTACTGTAACAGAGTATACACAATTTATTAGTGCATACTTTTAAAGTGAATTTAGTACTGGCAAAAGCTGCCAGGCTAACAGACCTGGAAAATGAAGTCCTTCATTCAACTAGAGTGCAAAGAATAGGAGAGGAAGTTTCCCAACATTGCCTCATTCATGCTACCAACCAGACGCAGGACTGTTTTTAGTGACACAGTAATTTGATCTCTCTCGACCCACTCATTCCTTGGCCTTTCTGCTTGCACACGGATTGCAGAGACTTCTGTCCTTTAGGAACTGGAGTGAGACCAGACACTTATTTGCTGTAGGCCACAGAAGCCCCAGTAGAAGGTAAAAGCTTTTTGTCCTGACTACTCCACAGTGGACCAGTGAGCAGGCTGCATGAGAAAGGGCCCATTATCAATCCCCCTACACCAGTGGTGCTCAAACCCAGCCCATAGAGCCACTGTCATCCAGCCCACAGGGCTCTCCATGGGTTCAGAAATTTGGCAGCCGGGAGCAATAGCAATTAACACTGCTGCTGTTCTTCTATTACCAAATTTCTAAGACCTGTGGGCCCTGATGATATAGGCCTGCACACTGGTTTGGGGCCTAATCCAGTATGCAGGACAGGGGTCATGTGTTGAGTAAGCTTCACATGCTGTATCAGGCCCTCTCATCTGGTATGCCATGCTGAAAGGTTGGGTACTGGTACCTTAAAGCAGTCCATACTGCACCACCTTTATCTTGTTTTAACAACAAAGCATCCACAGAAAATATTCAGGGCCAGTTCCTTCACTGTGCTATTAATCGGTGGATACCACAAAGCCAGCAATATCCCACCTTAGCCCTGATCACAGTAACTAATTAGTCCAGTAGGTCAAAAGAACTGAGGAAGTGAGTTCATCTCCAACACTCCCTTACTAACCCTTTTCTGTATGAACCCTATAGCTTGCACTCCAGGATCAGGCTGCTTTGAACAGGGCAGATGATGTACATCTGGTGCTAGCTTGTGCATGGAACAAATGCTGGTGCTGCTAACATGCTGCAAGAGTTTATAGCCGGGGTAAAAAGGTTGTCATTTTTAATAGCTAGAAAACATGTCATTTCTCTTGGGGGGTCTTTCGACACTTGCTCCATCTGCATGACTATTTGAGTGGAGCTTCGTGCATGGGTAAAGTGGAGAAGAGCTCTAAATATGAGGTCTGATATTACTAAGCAGCTGTGCACTAAAATAGTTGGAGCCAGATCCTATGTCACCTACTGGTGTCTGAAGTGGTCCTATTTCACCCTTCTCAAGTCCCTTAAAACAGTTAGCAAAAGAAAAAAAGGCAGGTGGGTCTTCCTGCTGGTCACTGATGCCTGTGACTTAGAATTAAGGCTACGATAAGGCTGCCTTACAAAATAGGTCTGTTAGCAGTAAAACAGGTGCTTTGAAAAATGTATGCAGCATGCCAGTGCAATCTAAGAACAGAGCAAGCACTTATTCATAAATGAAGAACTGCAACATTTATTCAAATCTATGACACCTGGTCAGTTTACAGCATGAGACAAGCATCAAGAATATTGAAAGAACTGCACTGTTGCAATTACTTTGATAAAAATAAGAAGAAAAACTTTATACCCACCAGGAAAACTGAAAGGTTTATATTTACAGGGGAAGTCAGGTCAGGGAACAAAAGGCTCCAAACACTTCTAGACTGCTCAAATATTTGAGTAATTAAGATAGATAAAAAAAAAAAATAATCACACAATCATTAACAATGCAAAATTATGTCAATAAGTAACATTCCCCAATCCCAAGCAAGAATTTGTTTTGCTTCATTTTAAAGCTGTGACATATAGTATAGTTGTGTTTGATTTATTTCTGGATCTTAAAGCGGTGAATAGGCATCATCACCTCCAACATACGCTTGAGAAAACTTAGGCAGAGGGACGATATAACTGTCTTGAATGGTGCACCAGTGTGGTAGCTCCCAGGGAGTCTCAGCAGTACGCCAGGGCCTCAGCAGTAGCCTGTGTTTGGGGAGCTTGCATTGAGGCATCAGCAGCCCCTGCTGCCCCACCTGCCCCTGTATGAGGAAGTAAGTGCTGGGTGGTGGGATGCACATGACATTGTGCCGCTCTCCAGGCAGTGGTAGTGGCAGCCCGGCACAGAGCCCAGTGTGCAGGGGAAACCGCCTCTGCCCCCTGCACAGAATGGGAGGCATATGCCCTCAGGGCCTCTGCTGGGGTGTGCACAGCAGCAAGAGCCCCTCTGCACCCCTGGATGAGCCGCCTGGGGTCCGACTGTCCCATGACCTGGCCAACCAGGTCCCCATTGTTTCACCACCTGGCCTGGCTGGGGCCCCATTCACCCCTACCCCTACCCCTCTCCCTGTCTCACTGTGGGGGCCTCGATCTGCTCCTCCACACTCCTTCTCTCTCCCCTCACTCCCTCCCCCACAGACTTACCTGCTGGGGGTGGGGAGTGAGTACCCAAATCATTTTTTCTCCCTCCTTTTATGGTGTAGACATACCCTCAATCTCCTCCTCCAAATTTTACTCCACTGAACTCATTGCTAGAGCAACTAACTTCCTACCCTTTCTCTATTGCCTCCATGGTCTTGGCCTTCCCAGACCTGAACTAACTAGCAAACTGGTTTACATGGCCTAAAACCGTGGCAGACACATCACAGGGTCCCCACCCCAAAGTAATTCCTGCATGTGTAGATGCTGTGGCTGGGAGCAGTTTACTTTGGTTCAAACTTCTCTGGAGTTTATTGCATCACATTAATTGTGCAGATGCACTAAGAAGTAGTTGAGACTGACAAGTTGGAGTTTTGCAAAACCTGACGTGGGTGAAAATATTGTCAGCTAAGAAGCTGAATGAAAACATCAGAGTTTTCCCTGACAGCCCTAAACACCCATCAGTAATTTTGCTGATGCATGGGAACCATGGCTGCCAGAAGAAACTGAGACTGATGAAGGTGCTATTTCTGTCTGAAATAAGCAGAAAGGTGGATTCAGTTTTAACCTAAGAACCTAATTAAGGAGCTGCTAGCACAGAGAAGTGATAATATTTTAATGTCGCTCCTGGCTTTTACAGCATCTTTTGAAACAATAAAAGGCTTTAACCTAAGCTAACAAGACATGGAAATTTGTTGGAAGTGATGTTTCCTCCTTGATTTCCTCTATTGAGCACAGGTGATAGGGCAGGTTTCAGCTCAAGCAGGATGCACATGCACCAAGTCCCATTCTGCAGTCTGATTTGTGCAGGTGGCCTTTACAAGCCCGCAGTGTCCCATGGAAGGCAGCCTGCCTATATGGATCAGTCTGCTGGACAGGGGCTAGTACGTTTCCTCAACACTAGAGAGAATAAATCAAGGTTGGAATTATTTGCTTCGGTAAATACATAAGTTATTCTGTGCCCAAAGCAAATTTGAAGACCTCTCTAGCACTGCTCCTCCACCCTAGTGTGGTGGTAGGTGTGATTGGTACTGGCTTGGGAAGGAAGAAGGCTTAAGTCCTGGATTTCCTTGCCTTTGATCTGTAATGTTTAATCATAGAAATCATAAAGTAGGGCTGCAAGGGACCTCCAGAGGTCACCTATCTGCCTGAGGCAGAATCATCCCTATCCAAACCATGCTATATAATCCATAATTTATTTATTTATAAATTTATTTTGCTTTTTTCAAGGAGTCCTCCAGAGAGAGCGCTTTCCTACCAAACACAATCCGAGGATACACAAATACGTTCTCTCAAGAAGTGTATCCACATGTGACTATCACCCTGTAATTTGGAGCTGTACTGAGTACCTGGATGTCAACGTTGGATGTTTTGAAACACACAGTGCAGTGAAACACACACTAAGTTGTGCTACTTGCTTTCTAAGGAGACAAGCACCAACACTGCTGAACAATATGTCTCTACATTCCCGTCAGCTAAGGAATGTGCATGTGCTTTGATACACCCTGTATATTAGAATAGCCATAAACCAGCCTCATTATATAGCATCAGGCAAGCTTTAAAGTCCATCTCCGAACAATGAGATGAGCACTCCACTTTCTACAATTAGTTCCTAAGACAAATACATTTTTCTGTGTATGTAAGAAAATGTTATGTGACCTACAACCACTAGGCAGCACTGGAGAGGGGATGGGGGAGAGAGCACTGAGAAGACTTACCTTGCCTTCCTGGGCTTCAGCATTATTCTGGGGTGGATACAACAGCATCAATCAGCCAGCAAAGCACACCATGTGGAGGGAGCAGATCCTCCATGGACCTACTGAGCAAATAAACAAAGGGCATAATGAACCAATTGAAAAGTTGCAGCTTTTTCAATTACTCTTAGACTTATTATGGTTAAATGTTTTCAACCTGGGTCTAATAAAAGATATCAGAGTTACCCAAAGAAACCTGTCTGCCCATGTCCCTTGACCAAGATGGCTACAACCTGAAATCTATGTTTAGGCATCTCCATGAGTGGCCTCTGATTTTCTGAGGTGCAAGACAATCCAAGTCAACTGGACCTGGAGGGGATCTGCACTTCTGAAACCCAGGCCTCCTGTCTGGCTGCCTAAATACACTTAGTTTAGATTTACACAGGGCAGGAACATTTTTGTTTAGGCTTACGTTTCCAGCTCACCTGTAAAGTCTCAGTTATCCAAGAGATGCAATATGGGCACATAATCAAAATATATAAATCTTAGTTATGATCACATTAAAATACCCGAGAACCATACTTTTGAGCACTGATACAATACCAAGGCCCCTCAATATGAGTACAGACCTGTGTAATATTTACTTTCTGTATGTACAAGTTTAGAAAACATACAACTCTGTTACAACAGTGCTGTGTCTGAAAGATATACCAAATCCCATCAGAACATATTATCATTTTTTACAACAAAGCTTTCCATTCTGCTGCCTTTTATTCCCTTCCATAAAACACCAATGAGTGATCTCAGCCCAGTTGCTGTGTTTCTAAATCGTAACAGATATTGTTGTCAACTGGGAACATAATACAATAACTTCTGTAGATGAAAGAGATGGTGATCAGATGTCAGGTTACAGGTATATTGCAAGTCTCTGATTCCTCACTTACTACATTAACTTTATTTCATCACCCGCATGGAGAAGTTGGGCCAACATGGGAGGGACAGGGAGGGTTACACCATCACAACTCTTTTTGCAACAGGTGATATACACACCAGGGCCTTGCAAGCACCTGTTGCTTACACCGAAGATGTACCCACTCTACAAAGCTTTGTGCATTCAAGCCTATGGGACCCCTTCGCCACATGAACAGCAAAGCAGTCAGTACAAAAGGCAGCCCTAGATGAGTCCTGGCATTGGTATCAAGGTTGCGGATGTGGTCTGCTGTAGCTCTCCTCTTCCCTTGGGACGAAGGCTCTTTTCCTCATTTGCTAAACTAGAAAG